TGCACAGCAATTTTTTTTCCCCAGAAATCTGCTCTGCAGTTGTCCTCCACCTCTTCCTGTTTTCCAAATCACTTGAAGTTTCCCAGGGCCAAGAGAGCCTTTTCTTTTGGGTCACATTGGCTGAAAACTTGCTCTGGTTCCGAGGCTTTGGCATGATTAGATATTAGGAAGGAATTGTTCCCTGTGAGGGTGGGCAGGCCCTGGCACAAGTGTCCCAGAGAAGCTGTGGCTGCCCCATCCCTGGAAGTGTCCAAGGCCAGGTTGGAGCAACCTGGGCTAGTGGAAGGTGTCCCTGCCCATGGCAGGGGTGGAACTAGATGAGCTTTAAGGTCCCTTCCAACCCAAACCATTCCATGATTCTGTGTCAGAATCAGTTCCTTGCCCCTCTTGGTAAAACAAGAACTCACTTGGGGTATTTGTAGGATTTTGTGCTGGGCTGGGAAGCCCCAAATCTCCAACAGCTTTAACAAGAGATAAAGGGGAAAATCATCCCCTTGCACCCTCTCACAGAGCCAGAGGTGCTGCTCAGTGATCCATAAGGAAACATGAATGGCAGGAGCAGCAGCAGACACACCAACTGATGCTCCAAAGGGTGGTTTCCCAGAGCTCTGAGCAGATGGCTGGGATGCAGAAGGCCTGCGCTCACAGCAGGGGGAGGGCAACAAGGCTGCAGCACTGCACGAGCCATTTCCCTTCATGTTATTCCTGCAGGAGGGAACGTTACAGCCAGAGGACACCAGGGAGCCAAGACACTTGGGAGGCCCCTCAAAAATGTCCAGAGGGTGATCCTGGGGTGAAGGATCACAGTGTGGTGATGAACGACACCAACATGGTGGGACAAGCCCTGTCCCCAATCCCATTTGTCACCACCAGCCCAGAGGAGCCAAGGACAACGTGAGGAGGGAAAGGCTGATGTCCCTGATCCTCCACATCCCTGGCCAAGCCATTTGGATGTGTCTTTGCACAGAGGGCACGAGCTTAATTAGAAAAAAAAGCCAAAATGAACATTACCTTCCCCTTCACAGCCTCACTTTGCCTTGTTTTCCACTCATTCCTGGCAGGCAGACACCTGAGGGGGGCTGTGCATCCACAGCGCTGCAGCAAACAGCACTAAGGCATTTGCGTGAGGCTGAGCACTGCCAAGCCAAGAAAAATTAATTTACTCAGGTTTTTAGCAAGATAGAACACAATCTTCTGATTGGGATTGCGGGAAATGGTCTGTACAGCACGAACTGGCTCCATTGCCCAAGATCTTCTTGTCCCACTGGCATCTTTCATTCTGCTGACCTTACCCTGCCTAGCCAAGGGTGCAGCTCTACACACCCTCAGGCATTAAATTAACAGTTTTCCAGCTTTGCCAGAGGAAAATGTGAAGCTCCTGAAAGGCCACAAATTCCTGCAAAAGACTCTGAGCTTATCATTAAATGCAGCTTGGCCTGAGTGCTTGACATGGGGGATCTTTACCAGCACTTTAGAATTCTTCCCATGTCTGTGCTTTGTGTTATTAAGCCCCACTGGGACCAACAGGTTTTTTTTGTGGATATTTAAATTCCTCCTCACTGGAGGGCTCCTTGGTTTAAGCATTTTCAGTCGGGTTTTATGGATTTATTGATATGCTCAGTTCCACATGACCTCAAGGGAAGCTGAGGCTTGGCTTTTAAGAAATGCAAATCCAAAGCAACCTCTGGAGATTGAGGAGGAGCCACGAGAGCCAATTCAGAGCACCCAAAGTGTGCCCCTTGCTCGTGTGGTTCCTGGGATGGGAACAGGGATATGGTCAGCAGCTGAGCTCATCCCTTCCATGAGTGTGGCTGGAAAGACTGTGGAGATGAGTAATTCTGGAAGGGCAGATGCAGGGAACATGCAGAAAGTGAATGACCTTGCTGCTCTCCCCTCCTCCAATGCACCAGGAGGGAATGCAACTTTCCTTCAGCAACCCACTCCCAGACCACCCCAAATTTTCCAGGGCCAAAGCAAATCCCACTGGAGCAGCATCCCATAGGAGATGCAGGCAGCTGAGGTCTTGTGGGAAGTGCTCTAAAATCCATCTGACAGCACTCTGGGAACTTTCCAATTCCCAGCCAGACTGTATCTGTGCCACTGTAACCCTGCTCTTCCTACACACACAACGTTTTTCTCCTCCTCTGGTATTCATTATTTGGATTGGGATCCTAACCCTGCAGTGCCTGGAGATTCTCAGCAGGAAAGTCATTTCTTACCTCCTGTGTCCACACAGAAATTTTGGAGAGCAGGACCATGTGTAAGGCTCAGGACAAGGATATGCTTGTGACAGCCCCCAGGAGGCATCCAGTGGTGCCATGGTGGGACACACTGCTCTGCTGAGGAACTGGGAAACCCTGCAGTGCCTTGGAGGATGCAGGGGCATGTGGAAAATGCATGGGAAGATGTGGACACAAGCCTCAGCAAGGAAAATTCCCAGCAGACCTATGCAGAACATTCCTCTCCACGGGAATGCTGCAGCTTTGGGACAGGGTAGGAGAGGTGGTGCAATCCCAGCCCCTGGAGATACTCAACACCTGCCTGCTCAGGATATGATCAAGGCTCTGGAACCTGCTGAGGGCAGGGGCTGGATGGGACACTCCAGAAGTGTCCCCAGCCCACCCCTCTTACTCCAGATATTCCTTGCCAGCTCCCAAACGGGAGAAGGGCAAGAGCTCTCCATCCTCTGCACCCAGGAGGGACCCAGGCAAGAAAGCCAAGATGAACTTGACCTACAGACAGTCTTAATGTCTGTCCCTGCTGTGTCCCTGAGGGGATGGCAGAGCAGCAGCAGCAGCAGAGGCCGGGACACACGGCAGGAGCTTCATCATAAAATCAACATCTTTAATGAGCTCTGTCAGTGAGGAGCCCTCAGGAGGCTCTTCCCCACACCAGGAGATTTCTCCCTGCAGGCAGCTGTCCTGTTCACAGAGTGCAGCTCTGACATCCCAAGGACAAATGTCCTAAAGCAAGCCCAGCTCCAGACACAATGCATGTCCCAGCCTGGCCAGGGGGAGCTGTGTTTTGGAGGGGAGCTGTGTGAGCCCCCCCCCCAGCTCCAGCTGTGTGAGCCCCTCCTTCCCTAGGAAGTGGATTGGAGGATGTGGCTCCACAGCCCAGCAGCACCAGCCCTTGCTCTGCTGTGTCTGGAAGCCTTTCCCATCCCTAAACCCACTCGGCTCCAGGAGGAACTGCTGGATTAATTTTTTCTTTCTTCAGGAAAAGACAAGGTAACCTTTCTAGGGATCAAGGCCAGTGTTAAGGATGGTACTGCCATGGTACCACCAGCCCCACCACGGTGCCACTGCAGCAGTGCCACGGTACAGCAGAGTGACACCAGGTCCCACAGCACCACCCCAGCACCACCAGTGCCACCAGTGCCACCACAGACTATGATGGTACTGCCATGGTGCTGCCTCAACCCCATGGGAGTGGGAAGGGAAATCGGAGTCACCCACCCAGCCAGGAGCCTCCAGGATCACGGGCAACACTCAAAGCAGCCCAAGGACTGAGCCAAACTGTCTGGCACGTGCTCAGCAGTCACCACCATAGACACCAAGCGGGGTCCTCACTCCCTCTTCCACCACCCCTGGATGCACAGCTGGATCACGGGGGACCCACTGCAGGGATCATCTAGGGCTGGTGCACAGCCCCCTCCCCACAGGTGCTGTTCAGCTACTGGAGCACCCACAAACACCCCTCTGAACCAGCCACCTGCCCCTCTGCCACTCCCAGCCTTCCCACACAGGCTCCCACCAGGAAGCAGCACCAATTCTGGCTCTCCTGAAGGAAAGTGTCCAAGGCCAGGTTGGAGCAACCTGGTCCAGTGCAAGTTGTCCCTGCCCATGGCAGGGAGTGGAACCAGATGATCTTGAAGGTCCCTTCCAAGCCAAACCATTCTGGGATTCTCTGAAGACAGTAAGTCTGGCACAACCAATTTGACTCTCGGGGTGCAAAAGAGGGGTGGGAGCAGAAATCCTTCCCATTCTGCAGCTCCAGTTTTTGGCTGAGGTGCCTCTGGCACAACCAGGGCTGGGGTCAGAGGCAGCCCAAGGGTGCCTGGTTCAATGTGGCCTTTCCCTAAACATCACAATAAACAGCCCTTCAAAACAGACCCGTAAGAAACTGTGCTGGGCTGAAATCCTGCTGTCCCTTGATGTGTTTCCAGCGGTGCCCTTCCTCCCTCAGGCAGCTCCAGCTGGGCTCAGCTGCACAGCACAGCCTGCTCAAAACCTTCCTGCTAAACCCCAGCCCGCTCTGCTCAGCCCCTCTCCCTCCTGAAGGCCAAAAGCTGATTTCTGTCCTGTTTTAAGAGCACCCCCAGATCCCAGGGGACCCCAGGAAGATGGCTAATGTTCCCCATGGGAAAGAAGGGCAAGCTGCCCTGAGCAGGGTGAGCTGATGAACTTTTGTGACCTGGGTGGAGGAGGTGAGACCCTGAGGAGCTGTTTGGGCTGTTTTTAGGGAGATGCTGCAAGGGGCTGATGCTGCACTGCCCCGAGGTGCCCAGGGCAGCCCTCAGGGACAGGGTCCTCCTGCAGTGAAGGTGCCCCAAGCCCTCAGGGGCTCCCTGGAGTGGAGAGGGGATACTCTGGAAGGGGGTGACAGTGACAGTGAGTGAATCGTGTCCCTGCCACGACCTGCATACAGAGCCTTTGATGCTGCCGGAGCGAGGAGATGCCGCAGGCACGGCTCAGCTGGGCTGGTGCAGCGGCTGTGTCTGCTCCGGGTGGGCTCAGCGAGACCCCGCACCAGCTCCAGCGCCTTCCAGGCAGCTGGAAATCACTATGGAAGGCCAGCGGAGGCAGCAGCTCTTTCTCTCCGGGGGTGCGTGGCAGCGGCTGTGGCAGCTCCCAGCCCACGGGAAGGTTTTGGGGGTGGCTCAGCCGCAGCCCAGCGCACCCACTGCCCGTGCCCGTCTCGTACCGAGGCAGCATCCCCGCGGTGCCTCGATGCCTCTCGCAACAAAATGAGCCAACGCACCGCCACCCCCGCCTTACCTGGGGGGGTCTGTCCGTCCGCTCCATCGCTCGCAGCGGTCTTATGAGCTCCGGTGCGGAGTGAACCCGCTGCGGGTCCGGCGGGGGGACGCGGGGGGTCCCGGCGGACTCTTCCTGGGGATGGGGTGCTCCGTCCCGCTCCGATCCCGTGGGAAGCCGGCAGCCGGCCGTGTCCCTGTCACCCCCCGCGCCGTCACGCGTGTCCAGCTCCGGGCAGGCGGGGGCGGCGGGGGCGGCATCGCCCGCGGCGGGGGCAGAGCTGGGCACCCCCCGCTCCGGCTCCTGCATGGCTGGGGCAGCGCTGGGCTCACTCCGCTGCGGGCAGGGCTCCGCGGGGCTCCGGGAGCCGGCACGGGAGAGCCGAGGGCATCAGGGCGGCGGCGGCGGCGGCGGTGGGAGCAGCCCGGGCCGCACTCCCCCGCGCCGGGGCCGGGGCCGGCGGCAGCAGCAGCATCCCCGCACCGGAGCTGGCTCGGTCCCGCACCGGGGCTGGCTCGGTCCCGCACCGAGAATAGCTCGGTCCCGCACCGGGAGTGGCTCGCTCCCCGCAGCCCCGTGCGGTCGCTGCTCCCGCCGCCCTCAGCCCCCCGCCGCCCCCGGCCCCATGACGTGGCGGAGGGGCCGGGGGAGCTGGCAGCCCCTCAGCCCGGGCAGCCCCCGCCGCAGCCGCTGCCGAGTCATCAATACGGAGCCGGGCCGGGCCCCGGGGGGGCTGCGCCGCGCCCCGGGCCGCCAATGGCGGCGGCTGCGCCGGTTTCCACGGCAACGCTGCCGGAGCGGGGTCTGGTGCCTATTGATGAGGCGGCGGCAGAGGGCGGGGGGGCGGACGGGCCGATCCCAGATCCCCCAAAACCGCAGCATCCCCCCCCCACCCCGCACCCCGCCGGCATCGGGGTTTGGTACCGCACCGGCCCCAGCCCCTGCTCGGCTCTGCCCCGGGGATGCTCATCTCTGCCCTGGGATGTCTCTGCTTCAGGGATACCCTGCTCTGCCCCACGGATGCCTGACTTCGCCCCGCGGATGCTCAGCTCTGTCCCAGGATGCCCATCTCTGCCCCAGAAATGCTCAGCTGTGCCCCAGGACTCCTGGCATTGCCCCGGGGTTGCCCCAGCTCTGCCCCAGGGATGCCCAGCTCTGCCCCAGGGATGTCCTGCTCTGCCCCAGCAATGCCCAGCTCCTCCCTGGTCATACCCATCTCTGCCTCATGGATGCCCAGCTCTGCCCCAGGGATGCCTGGGTCTACTCCAGGACTCCTTGTTCTGCCTTTGTCATACCCAGCTCTGCCCCGGGGATGTTCACACACCTTCCCTCTGTGTGAGCTGAACCTCAGCCCCTCACTGACACACTGTGCTGGAAACAACCCACTGCTGAAAGCTGCAGGACCCTGCCTGCAGCATGAGCAGGACAAGAGACAGAGGGTGGTGTGGGCAAGGAGGGAGGGCTGAGGGGCTGATCTGATCCAGGGAGACACGAGTTAGCAGCATAACGCTCCAGCAAAGCGGACACTGCCATCTCCGAGCACACAGAGTGAGCTGACATGCCCTGTCTCTGCCTCCTCCCTGCCTGGCTGTGTCTTTGATGAAGATCACATCATCCATCAGGCTGCTCAGCGTTCATGATGCTCAGGGGAAAGCCACTGGGCCACCCTGGGGGACATCTGTCTGTCCCCTGCTCCCCAGCCCAGTTCAAAGCTTGACCCACTGCAGAGAAAGGCTTGCTGATCCCAAACCCAAGGGGGAAGATTCCAAACAACTGATCCCACCTTCCTGTGTTTTCTAGTCTCATCTACCTTCAAACCCCCAGTTTAAGTGACTCCTTCTGCTCCAGGAACAGGTCAGGATAGATCCCACTGCTGGAATCCCCCAGTTTCTGCCCACAAATGTTTCCCCCCGAGGAGGCAGCAGGCAGGATCTGCAGGTGCTGCACTAGTGTGGAAGGAGGCCCAGGCACTGCTCAGCTTCCTGACAAGACAGAACAAGCAGGTTTCATTAGCAGGAGGCGAGAGGCAGGATGGGAAGTGCTCCCTGATAAGATCTCATGGCCTCGGGGAGTTCGGTCCCCTCAGAATCCTTCTCTGAACTCTCCAACACATTTGTCTCCTCTGGGACATTCTGCCGCCACAGACTCCTTTCTGCTTCTCCCACTCACCACTGCCAGACCCACCTGGCTCCATGAAACTGCTGGGACCTGCTGTCCTGGAGGAAGAGGGGCCAGGGACCAAGCCTTGCCCTGCTGAGGGCATTTTGGGGTCTGCAGAGCAGGAGGGACTGCACAGCTTGTGCAGCATCAACCAGGACCCAAATGAACGTGCCCAGGTCCTTTGGAGAGCAGGAGCTCACCCCAGTATGGACAGGACGTGTCTTTATGGGAACCTGATGAAACACCATCAGGATAGAGGGAGGGCACAAAAAAAAAAAAAAAAAAAAAAAAAAGGAGGTTTTTGATTTTGTGGGGGTTTTTTTTGTTTTGTTTTGTTTTGTTTTTTTTTTAATAGGAAAAAAGTGGCAGTTTCTGTTTTGCTGCTCTCAGCAAGAGCCACGTTCCCCAAGTCTCCCCCAGCAGTGACCACTGAGTAGCTGTAATATCTAACCACAATAATCCTTGGTCATGAACACCGGCTATTTACCCTTCCTAATACTTGAACAGTCATTATTAGGAGTTGAATTTTCAAAACTTTTGCCTGTTAAAAATTTGAACTCGCTTTTCCCTCCCAGAACTCACAAACCGAAAGCTGCTCAGGGCAGTCAGCACTGGCTGCTTCGGTTTGGGGTTTTTTTTAGCCCTTCTTCATTTTTGCTGTTTAAAAAACTTGTCTCCTTGTGACCATGACGACAGTTTTGATTTGATTTTTTATTTTTTTTCCCCTTCCACATCCCCTTTCCCTTTGAACAGCCACAAACCCAAGGAACGTGGGAAAGCTGAAACAGAGCGAGTAGAAGTAAAACATCCCTGTCCTTTCTGGCCAGCCCAGGGAGGGGACAAAGGGAAAAAAAAAAACAAAACTACCACAAACTCAGTAACTCCCCCCAAAATGATCCCGAGACCATCACAAGAAGTTTTACAAAACGTGGAAACTTTCAACCGATGTTTGGGCTCAAAAATGGAATTTAAAAAAAAAGTATATTTTTGGTATTTTTTTCTACTATTTTTAGATGCTCTCTCCCACAGGCAGGGGAGGGGGTGACAAAGACAAGGGGGAAGGTGCCTGGAGGGGTTTGGGAGATGATATTTGGGAACAGGGACCCTCCTCCTGCATCCCTGGAAGCCTGCCTGATTTTAGGACCCCTACCCCCAGAAAACACAGGCCAGGAGTTTGTGGCTGGAAGGGAGACTGGGACTGTAGGACGGTCTCTTGGTTCCACATGGCCTTTGACCACAGCCCTCAGGGGACTAAAGGGGACAGTCCCGTGTCCATGGGCTGAGATTTGCCAGCCCCCATCCCTACCCATGACCCCCCTAAGGCCCCCCCCAGGGCTCTGAATGTGGGCAAACTGGGATGACCCCTCTGCACATGGCCCTGGGTACTGCCAGGAGCTCTTCCCCAGTTTTGCATTTCCCAGGAACTGAATACAAAAATCCACAAAGTCAATGCCAAAAGAGCTTTATTAGCATTCCCTCTCCCTGCTGAACCCAGAAATCATCGGGAGCCCTCCTCTGCCTCCTGTGCCTTTCCCCACTGCACGTGGGGACACTGTCCAGCTCTTCCCAAGGCGTCACCACGTGGGGAATGAAGATGAGGGGGGAAAGAATAAGAACCGGAGGCTCTGCTGCCTACCTGGGCTCCCAGCGTGGCGTGAGCTCCGACGGGACGGGCCCTTTGGCCACACAGCTGGGACACTGGGCCACGTGGCCCCTGTCCCCACCACATGCTGGAGGGACGAGCAGACCATCTGCAGCCTGGCAAGGGTGGTGGAGCTCATGGGGTGGGTGGCCAGGCGTGGACCCCCTCCCGTGAGCCGGGCACGACCCGTCCTCTGCTGTTGGGGCGCGCGCAGCTCGTGACGGGCACGTGGCGGTGGCGGTGCTTCTCTTCTCCGTAGCCCACAGTACACTCATCCATAAAGTAGGAAACACTACACCCTGCAGTGCTGTTTAGTAGTGCTTTCTACTTTATGGGTGACTGCACTGTCTCTCAGCCGCTGTCCGGTGGCCGCTCCGCTCCAGCGCCGCGCTCGCTTCCGCCCGCGCGGGGCCACCGCCCGCACCCCGCACGTGGCCCGGCCTTGGCGCGGCCAGGCTGGCAAACTGCAGGGCTGGCCTTGCCCCCGGGGACAGAGAGCCTCTGGCAGTGTCACCTCCTGCCCCGCAGAGCTGTGCCAGCCTGAGAGGGGACATCCTCGTGCCCACCGGCGAGATCCTGCCTTGCCCTCCCTTGTCTCCCCAGAAACCCCGTCCTGAGCACAGGGGACAGCCTTGTCCCCACAGGGGACACCCTGCTTCATACCACATCGTCCCACCTCGAGCACTATTTTGGGCACAAGGGACATCCTCACTTTGTCCCCAAAGCAGGGAACCCACCTAATACCCCATCCTGGTCATAGGGGACAGTTTTGACTCGTCCCCAAAGGAAGGACCCTGCACCAGACCCATCCTGGTCAGAGGAGTAAACCCCAAGGAGGGCTCCACCTAATACTCCATCCTGGTCGTAAGAGACTGCTTCAACTTGTCCCCAGAGTAGGGACCCCAACCTCACTCCCCATCCTGGTCACAGAGAACCCAGTTGCCTTGTCCCTGCTGGTAGGGGCTCCCCCTCAAGCCCCATCACCCCCTGTCTTTGATCACCCTGAGTACAGAGGGTGTGTTTGCTTTGCCCCCACAGGGAGAATCCACCTCATACCCTCTCCCACTCACAGAAGACCCCCTTGCCTTGTCCCTATGGGGGGAGATTCTACCTTGAACTCCATCATTGCCTTTCAAACCCCATCCTTGTCTCAGAGAACCCCCTTGTCTGGATCCCAAGGGCAAGTTCCCACCTCAGACTCCATCCCTGTCCCTCAAATCCCATCTGCACTACAGAGGCCCCTCTTTGCTATGTCCCCATGAGGGCACCCCACCTAAATTGCACCCTGCTCACAGGGGGCTCCTTTGCCTTGTCCCCATGATGGGGAGCCCATGGTGGAGACCCCACCTAAGCAACAATCTGGTCTCAGAGGGCTCTTTCTCCTTGTCCCCTTGGTGGAGATCTTGTGGCAATCCCTGTTCCTATCACCCTTGAAATGTCCCCATGGGGACTGCCCCTCATCCCTCTATCTTTTACTGAAGACCCCTTTGCCCCATCCCCCTTCCCCTGAGGCCACAGGAGCTCCACGTCCTGGGGCTCCCCATGGGATCCTCCCCTGCCCCACCAGCCAGCCCCATGGAGACCATTTGGGTGCCCCCATAGCCCTTAGGGCCATGTGCTGGGGGTCACCTGGAGGTCCCCATGAT